ACGACATCAAAAGATGAAAAATGCTTTCAGCTACTAACTCGAGGCATTTGAGAAAATATTTTAAAGTAAATTGAATTTAAATTGGATCGAGGAGGAAAAGACAACCGGGGCTTATTAAAAATTAATTTTAGAGTCTACTAATTATGTAAAATAAATTGAAAACAAATATTTACACTAACAACAAGTGTAGCAATAAGGGAAAAATAGATTTGTGGTAATAAAATATTTAGGTACTTCAAAATTTGACCTGAAAGAAGCACCATGCATTTTTGAATTAACTTCTTTCTATCGAATAGGAAAAGACAACCGCTTATTAAAAATTAATTTTAGAGTCTACTAATTATGTTAAACAAATTGAAAGTCAATATTTACACTAATAACAAGTGTAATAGTTGGTAAAAAATAGATTTGTGGTAATAAAATATTTAGGTACTCCAAAATTTGACCTGAAAGAAGTAGCATGCATTTTTGATTTAATTTTTTTCTATATATTGGATCGAGGAGGAAAAGACACCCGGAGCTTATTAAAAATTAATTTTAGAGTCTACTAATTAAGAAAAATAAATTAAAAGTCAATATTTACACTAATAACAAGTGTGGTAGTTGGTAAAAAAAAATTTAAGGTAATAAAATATTTAGGTACTTCAAAATTTGACCTTAAACAAGTACCAAGCATTTTTGAAAGATTTTTTTTCTATAAATTGGAGGAAGGAAAAGACAACCGGGGCTTATTAAAAATTAATTTTAGAGTCTACTAATTCTGAAAAATAAATTGAAAGTCAATATTTACACTAACAACAAGTGTAGTAGTTGGCAAAAAATAAATTTGTGGTAATAAAATATTTAGGTACTTCAAAATTTGACCTGAAACAAGTACCATGCATTTTTGAATTATTTTTTTCTATCGAGGAGGAAAAGACAACCGGAGCTTATTAAAAATTAATTTTAGAGTCTACTAATTATGAAAAATAAATTGAAACTAAATATTTACACTAATAACAAGTGTAGTGGTTGGTAAAAAACAGATTTGAGGTGATAAAATATTTAGGTACTTCAAAATTTGACCTGAAAGAAGTTCCATGCATTTTTTAATTAATTTTTTTTCTATCGAGGAGGAAAAGACAACCGGAGCTTATTAAAAATTAATTTTAGAATCTAATAATTATGTAAAATAGATTGAAAGCAAATATTTACACTAATAACAAGTGTAGTAAGTGGTAAAAAATAAATTTTAGGTAATAAAATATTTAGGTACTTCAAAATTTGATCCTAAACAAGCACCATGCATTTTTGAATTAATTTTTTTCTATATATTGGATCGAGGAGGAAAAGACAACCGCTTATTAAAAATTAATTTTAGAGTCTACTAATTAAGAAAAATTAATTAAAAGTCAGTATTTACACTAATAACAAGTGTAGTAAGTGGTAAAAAATAGATTTAAGGTAATAAAATATTTAGGTACTCCAAAATTTGACCTCAAACAAACACCTTGCATTTTTTGGTACTAAAAACAAGTTCCATGCATTTTGGTATTAAAAAGAAGTTTGAATTTAGTTTTTTTTTTATTTAACCACATGTTTAGGCTTCTTTTTGGTCTAATTGTATATTTATTTGGTTTTCTCCAACTCGATCTAAACTATAAATACCAAAACCCAGGCTGGAAGCAAACTTTAGGCTATTTTTAAACCAAAAACAAAATGTTCCTTTTGTAAATTTATACTAGGAGATAGTGTTAGTGAACTTGTGAAGTAAATATTTAATTAAGAAAAAATATTAATGAATTTGATAATTTAACTAATTAGAAGAATATATATATATATATATATATATATATATATATATTCAAAGTATATATATATACATATTATATTGGTATGTCTATTTTGCTTTCAAATTCCTAAGAAGCAACTTTAACAAAACAAAGATTGTAGAAATATTTCTTAAGACAATTATGTATATATATATATATATATATATATATATATATATATATATAATATATATATACATATATAAATTGAAGATCAAGACTTTATAAATATTTTGTGTAAAATTATCTTTCTAAATAATAAATACTTCTTAGTCTAAAAATTTGTTTTGCTATGTAATATGTTTAAGCTCGTGCAGTTTGTTCAAAGAAATTTAAATTCTTTATATAATATAATAAATTTTACAAATTTAATTATGAGGTATTTTAATAGATATATTGAAGTACTAAATACTGAAATTTGAACATTCTAGACGAAACGATATGACTTTAGGAACTTTTTGAATGAAAAGTATGAATTTCTTCGATGATTTAGGGAATTCTTTTTGAAGCAACAGGAGCGAACAAATAATTAATAATTTTTTTTTTAAAAAATAGAGATTTACACAAATTTGCTATTATATTCTTTCATATATAAGCCTAACACAAGTTCATATCTTAAGATAATATTTTGGCAGATTTGTTAAAATAGTAAGTTTAAAAAATCTTGTTTGATTAAGCTGTTTATAATTTTAAAGGAGCGAAAAATACGAACTAATTTTTCTATAGGTAGCAAAATTTAAATGGCCTTTTTAAATAACACTATTTTAAAATCGAAAGTAATAAAATTCGCTTTTTCATTGAAAGTGTTTCAACAAAAAGCCCGAGGCAGTTTTTTTGCAAATCGTGACTCAAATGATTCACGGTTCATCAATAATAAAATTCTTTACTGTTCTTGATTTTTGTAAATATTAATAAAAATTAAATTATTAAAAGTATGTATCAAAATCATATAGATATTGAAAAAGGATGAATGGAAATAACTTTTTTGAAAAACAAAATTGTATAAAATGAGCAGTACAAAAATTTTAAGTCAATAAATATTAAAATAAAAGTATTTCGAACGCCAAGTTTTTGTAAAATAAAATGCAAAATCCACAATAATAAAAACTACCAAATTTGTTCAAAAAAAATGAGTATTGAATATTAAGTATATATAAAAATGATTTTTAAAGGAAAAACGCCATTTTTTCGGAGAATAAAAAAAGGCAAAGGCACTCACTAAAATTACGAGATTTGCAAATTTAATTTATTAAGCATTATTATGTTTAATAATGCGTTTTAAAATATTTTTTCCAAAGAATAAAGTCAGTCTTAGATGAAATGAATTCCAAATAAATTTGTCCTTGCAAAATTTTTAAAATACCAAATAAAAATAGTTAATTTTGTGTATAAATATTATTATAAAATATTTTAAAATTTAATCTTAATAAAATTGATGATTCAATTTTAAAATATTTTATTATAATAATAATACACAAATAAGCATGTAAATATCAATAATTAAGAAAAAATCAAAATGAATAAATTTGTAGTTAAAAAAAATCTGCAAATTCGACTTAATATTTATTTATATTTATATATTTAATAATTAATTATGAATATTACGCCAATTTTCCGTAAATAAAATCCAAAATCCACTCAAACCAAAATTAATTTAAAATTTAATATACCGAATTTTAGGTTTTAAGATATTTAAAACTACAATTATTATTACTATATAAATATATAAAAAAATCTGCAAATTCGACTTAATATTTATTTATATTTATGTATTTTATAATTAATTTTTAATTTATTTATTTTAAATTGTAAATAAAAATATTAGATTTTAATACATTTTTCAAGTAAAGGATCCACTTTTTCGTAACAATAAATGCACAAAATAAATCCTAATTTCTAATGTTACAAATTTTGTTTTGAATGCAGTTTTAAAAAAAATCTAGGAAAAACCGCCAAGTGATTTTACAAAAAATTCTAGGAAAAACCTCCAACCGATTTAAAAAAAATCTAAAAAAAAACATCAACCGATTTTAAACTAGAAATTTAAAAAGAATTAGAAAGAACTAGAAATACAAAATCTATTCTTCAAAAAATTGCAAAAGCTCACTTAAAAAATATTAATATTGTGCCAGACGAAAAAAAATACTGGTCATATTAAAAATTCAAAAATCCCAAAGATTCTAGGAAAAATAGTAAATTAGAAATTCAAAAAGAATTAGGAGGAAGTAGAAATACAAAATTCATTTCTCAAAAAAAAAAAATTGCAAAAAATCACCAAAAACCTATTAATATTATACATGTCAAGATTTAAGTATGTTTTGTCAAAAAACATTATTAGTCATAATAAAAAATTCAAAAATTCCGCTTTTTCTACGAAATCCTTTAAAAAAATTCTAGGTAAAACCTCCAACCGATTAAAAAAAAAAACTAAGAAAAAACACCAACCGATTTAAAAAAAATTCTAGTAAAAAGAATAAGGAAGAACTAGAAATACAGTATCTATTCTTCAAAAAATTGCAGAAATTTACTTCGAAATTTTATACAAAAATTCATTATAAAAATCTTATTATAACAAAAATTATAAAATTAGTCATTATAAAAAAAATAAAAAATCCCGCTTCTACTACGAAATACTTTAAAAAATTCTAGAAAAAACCTCCAACCGATTAGAAATACAACATCTATTCTTCAAAAAATTGCAAAAAATCACTTTAAAATTATTAAGTAATATTTCTATCAAAAACATCACTAGTCATAATAAAAAATTCAAAATTCCCACTTTTCCTACGAAATCCTTCTACAACCCCATGGGAGACCAACCGATTAAAAAAAATTACAGGAAAAACCGCCAACCGATTTTAAAAAAAAATCTAGGAAAACCTAGGAATTAGAAATTAAAATAAAAAGTAGTAAATAAAAAGTAATAAATTAAAAGTAAAATAAAAAATTCGAAAATCCCGCTTTTCCTCCGAAATCCTTCTACAACCTTCACGAGAGACTCCGACACTTTAGTACAAACACGCAACAAACCCTTGCAAAAACCACGTGCCAAACCTTACAGAACCTCCAAAAAACCACCTTAATCCCTAATTAAAACCTTTTAATAACCAAAAACTTTACACCAAACCAACAGACATAATAAATGACTTTTACATCTGACTTTTACATATGACTTTTATTCTGACTCACCTTTAAATTCCGAAGCCATTACAACCACAACGAGAACAATCGCCGCGGCACACCGCCGAACACCTGACAACGCCAACATGGTAGTAAAAGACAAATAAAAACACACTTTAACCTCAATTTATAATTATTATAAAGTTACAACGGGCACTAGAAAACACTTTGGTCACTTGTATTTAATGTATAGAATTGTTTTTAAATCATACCATCACTCGTTTACTAAACACTTTTGCGTAATAATTTATTTAAACTCGCGTACGTAATTTATTTATTTGAACTGTTCTTTACTCGAGAGCGGCCGGAGAGAGACTAACGCGTTTCGTGTCTGTTCGGGTCGGAGAAACGACGACGACTGACGAAGCGACGGCCGAACATGGAATGGTACCGAGAACTGGAGTGAAGTGTGGTGGGGATGCGTATTGGAATTTGGCGCGAGATTCAAATGCAATTCTTATTGGATTCGATAATATAAAGATTAATAAGTCGTTACTTTTATATCGGAGTGTATATAATTGTTTTAAAAATCCAGCATTAAATACGAGTGTTATAATTGAGAATGAAAAGCTAGTTATTTTTAGCTTTCCTGGCATGATTTGCTCAATAGAATCAATCGCATAATAAATAAGTAAAAGTAAAATGTTGCAAAATCCAAATATTAATATTGTACATACGTTAAAAATAATTGAAAATTTAAAAATATTTGATAATAACTAATTTAAAAATATTATGTAAATATTAATATAATTTTAATGATAAACTGTTAAATCAGTTAAAATTAATAGGGAGGGGGGCGCTAGAAAAAAAGTTGCATGCGGGCGCTAAGGACCCCAGGACCGGCCCTGGTGGTATATATATATATATATATATATACTTGTTCTTATACAATTTACTAGTTTATTTCCATAATTTGTATACTCGTATATGTTAAGAAAAATAAGCATTTCATTTTACTTAAAATGTCTTTAAATCAACAAAAAAACTAGACAAAAACTACAGAACTTATTCAAGTGGATTCTTATAAAATTCTTGAAGATTTCTTACATTTGTCATAAAATATTTTTATTATTCCACATTTTTTCATATATTTACATTATGGCGAGAAGGTCGAAGCTTTTTAACTTCACGTAGGCTAATTGTAATAGGCCGAAAATCGAAATTGAAAATTTTTATTTCTCGACGTTTTGAAGGTTTCTGAACATTTTGGCATACTTCAGAAAAAATGGATGTGTATGTGTGTGTGTATGTATGTATGGATACAATTTTCAAGTCACGTTTTCGGGTGCACGGATTAACCGAATTGAATGGTTCAAAAAACATTCTATTCCTATTGATAGGGTTATGTGCTGATGAGTTTTTAGCAAAGGCAGGTTCACCCGTTTCGGAGATACAGAACAAAGAGTGCAGAAAATAGAAAGCGAGTTTTTGAGAGAACGGAGAACGGAATGATCTAAAAAACATTCAATTAGTAATGATTGGGAGAAGTGATGATTAGATTTTGGCAAAGGCAGGTCCAACGGTTTCGAAGATATAGACCTAAATGTGCATAAAATTGCAGTTTTTGAAAGAACTAAGCGTCCGATTTGAATGATTCAAAAAACTTTCTGCTTGTTTTAACAAAATAATTGCTTTTGAATAAGTCGTAAATTTTATATCGGAGTGTATATAATTGTTGGCATGGAATTGTAGTGAATTTTATGTAACTAAAAAAAAGGTGCTTTCATATATTTTTTTTGAGTTATTTGACAAAAAGCAAAAAAATCTCCTGAATTTTCTATTTATTCATGCTAAAGAATGTAATATCGAATTCAAAGTCGTTTTATTCAAAACTTTTATATCGGAGTGTATAAAAGTGTTTGCTAGGAAATGTTGTAAATTTTATATAGTTTTACCCTATGTAACTGAAAAGGGTTGACTCCATATAAAATTTTTGAATTATTTGACAAAAACCAAAAAATGTCCCAAATTTTCTATTTATTGGTAAAGAATGAAATATCGAATTCAAAGTCAATAATGCGTTCTCTGTAACATATTTTTTTTAAAATTTATATAAATGATCACTTATTACAAAATATACACATATAAACAGTTATTAAATACGGTTTACCAAATAAACTAAAATAATAATGTGGAACAAAAAAGTTTATCCATAATTAATTTATAACAATATGAAACAATACAACAAAATTATTTGCTCTAAAAATATTATTTTCATACAGTTTGTTTCTATTTAGTTTGGTACTTTTCTCTGAATCTAATATACGTATTAAATAAATGTAAGGTTTATTGAACAAATTGTATAAAAAAAAATCAGTAAAACACTTTCAGTTCAGATTTCCAGATTTCCATTATTTTGTTTCTTACAAAACTATATTATTTCTTGTTTTATATTATTATTTTATTTTATTCGTAAAACTTTTCGTTTAATTTTGTGTGCGTTTTCTGACTTGTTAATAATATTAATATTATTATATTAATATTTATTATATTAAATTTGTTACGACCAATGACAATTTTTTTAAATTTTTATAGAGTTGCAAATATTTTTTTTAAGAACTTGCTAACTAGCTGAATGATGACACACCAATAATTTATTTATTATTTCAATATATCATCCATTCAGTTTTTGTTGAAATTTAGGGATGTCTTTCCCCGGTATTTTTGGTTATCGGCAAAATATAAAATATATCGACGTTGGAGGAAATTTTACCACACATTGTATAATATCACATTTGACAAAATCGAGTAAAATTCGGGGGTTTCTTGTTTGACTTGTCAACATTTGACATTTGCTGACAGATTCGACATTTATCCCCAAAACGGAGGCAAACAAAGAAAAAAGCCTCTGGAAAAATAGTCTCAGCACAAAAAAAAATAGACAGTGAATTTTTTTTATCATCGAAAATAATTCGGATTTTAATTTTGTATTCGGATTTGCTCACTTGTATACTTTAAATAAATATTTTTGACTCTGTAATTCACTTTATATAATTCTTATAAATATTAGACAATGTTACAATATTTATAATTATCTATTTGAAAACATTTAATATTTCTCAAACATTTTGTTACGGTACGGAAGTTTTAGAAATTCGCCTTAAGGCACGATGCCATACACCACTAGTTACTTTCTTTACTGGTTTCCTATCCCTTTTACGACATATATATGTGTATATATATATATATATATATATATATATATATATATATTGACTTTTTAGTTAATTTTCAACTCATCCAAAATTATTTTCCATCCCTGACCTTTCCAAATTCATTTTATTCCCTTGACTCATTACGAAATGTATCACAAGCCATCACCTCGCTTTAATCAACCCCTAAATATATATGTTTTCATACAAATAAATCTATATTATCATCCAACCCCTCCTAGGATTTTTGCAAAACACAAAAACCGATACGAATTGAATGAATAGTGGACATGTGCCATTTTTGGTGCAAAATTTTAGGGGATGGATATTGTTTATGGGTTAACTAGTGGTGTATGGTGACATGTAGACATCAGATTTAATTTATGGAAACATTTTGTTATATGGTACAATGCAAAAGTTTCATTCAGGAGTATCCTAATATTTTTAAGTGTTATACATGTAATTAAAATAAACATACATTCATTGACTGCTTGTATTTTTTTTTACTTTTTCGCTGGCGATATAATCTCATTCTTTGAACGGCTGTAATATCTGTCTTGCCTAAAAAATATTTTCCATTTTAATAACTTCAAAGATTTATAGGAACTACGAATAATATAGAAATAATTTTCTAATCAATAAACTTACGTTTAGTACACGGCACAAATGTTTAATTTGTTTTATTATTTTCAAGGAACAGGGTAAAATATTCTTCTGATTCGGGCATTTTTCATTAAATCAAAATTTGTACTACGATGTAGGTATAAAATGTTTATTTATTTATACCGATTTCCTTGTTGATGCCGGTACGCATACAACGACAGATCTCTATTCACATACACGACGACTAATCACAATCGACCCGCACAGAAATGATATCATCGAGAGCGAATGACGAACAGTTCGGGCGTAACGGACTTCCGTTGCATTTATACGGATTTACTTCATAGTCACGCCTAAAAAGTATTACTTTAATAAGTAGACAATGACTTTGTAGTTAATTTAAATGTCTTCTGACTCCCTATGATTTTTATTTTGAAGATTACAACTTATCCTCGTGTTTTTCAGTCCTGTGCCCAAAAAGGGCATTAACGCCTTATGTCGCCTAAATTCCTAAATAGGCCGATTCGAGTGTCTATCGGATTATAGATATCAAATGCATTAGTTCTGATTAGTTCCGAACCCAAAAAATAGGGATTTTCCCCAGACCCTCTTTTTGCAAGGCATAAAAAAATATTAGGGTGTAATGCCGTTGTATGATCGATGTATTAAAATCTAATGGAGGTTTTGCATTAGGGTTGAAGGTTTGTATGAAATTTTGAAATATTATATGGAAGCACAAAGGAGAAACTATGCGTTTTTCCTTATTGTTTTTGAGTTATTTGACAAAAACCAAAAAAAAGTCAAAAAATTTCTATTTATTGCTAATAAAAAATGAAAGATCGAATTCAAAGTCGTTTTATTCAAAACTTTTATGTCGGAGTGTATAAAAGTGTTTCCTAGGAAATGTTATAAATTTTATCTAGTTTCATCCTATCTAACTTAGAAAGGGTGCGTTCGTATGAAGTTTTTGAGTTATTTGACAAAAACCAAAAAAATGTCCTAAATTTTCTATTTATTGCTAAAGATTGAAATTGAGAAAGAGAATTTCCATGTAAAATTTGTGAGTTATTTGACAAAAACCAAAAAAATATCCCGAATTTTCTATTTATTGCTACTAAAGAATGAAATATCAAATTCAAAGCCGTTTTATGCAAAACTTTTATATCGGACTGTATATAACTGTTTTCATGAGAATTTAGTAAATTTTATCTACTTTTATCCTGTATAAAAAAGTGCTTTCATATGAAATTTCTGAATTATTTGACAAAAACTAAAAAAATGTCCCAAATTTTCTATTTGTAACCAAATTCCTAACAATATATAACAATTATATTAAAAAATTGCTATTCTGACATATTTATTAACACAACAAACACTAAAATAAACAAACAATATTCTAAAATATTATACAATTAAAAAAAAGTACTAAAAATCTACAAAAAATACTTTAATTTCAAAAACTTTCATATTTTTTCCTAGCAAAAAATC